TTTATAGGCTTGTAATTTACCATTGTTAAACTACAGATGGCGCCGCTTGTTTGGTTTCCGTTACAAGTTTCCAATAAAATAGGATATTATTAAGTATGTTTTTACATTACAAAACATGATTTATATTTATTTTAATTATCTTAACAATGTTACATCACAGTTATAAATATGAGCGAAAATAAATAGCTCAACTAAATCTAAAATATTAATGTACCCGCTATTATAAGAAACTACTTATTGTAAGAAAATAATAAATTACCCACAATACTAATTATAACAATATATATTATTAAAATATGCTAACAATTATATTTAAGTTTATTGAAGTCGTCTCTACAAAATTTTTAATTATACCACTAATGCATCTGACAGTACCTCTAACCGGTATCTTCCTCACGGGTGACGACGCATCTGCATTTTGATTCTTTATTGAGGATAAATGTAGAAGTCTATGGGTCACAGCAACCGCTTACCATCAGGTGGACTGGTGCTCGTTTGTCACCCTATCCTATAAACTAAAAAAAATTAGATAGTGTGTTGAAAAAGAAAAAAAATCACAAACATACCTCTAAAAATTCTGATTTTTTTATCAGATTACAAGCAACATATTAACGTAATAGTGTTTTAATTTTTTAGTCCAATCAATAGATATTTTTTAACTCGCAAATTCTTATTTCTGAACATAATACGTACGCATTTATGCGTAAACGCCTGTGTAATGTGTACCGACAGTGCCGGCCGAGACCTGATGCTATATACTATACGCACTACTGCGGTCACCGCAGGATGTTGTTGAACTTGCGGTTAACCGGATTGCAGCTAGCCGCAACCGCAGCATTCTGTTGAGAAACCATTGAAATGATGCAGTTAGGTCATAACATTTTAAAGATTAAGTGGAAAAAGTCGCAGCCATTTATAGATACATTTACGCCATATAAATAATAAAAAAAAAACACAAAGAAGTATTTGGTACATCTTTATTTGTTACTTTACGTATTGCACATAAACTGTCTCGATATCGGGTCGCAGCCCGCAGCTTTCTGACCGACCGGAATAGTCCAAGATCGCAGGACTACCAGACGTCACTTATTTTCTGACGAACGAAATGTGTAAGATTGAGTAGTGTTGGTCATCGATCAAGATACGTAAAAACATTGTTTACCTCACGTTAACTCTCCCGGCTGGTTTTTACGTATATGTTAGATAACATCGTTAAAAATCAGTCATCAATGCGTCCAGACACTTTCCGTCATCGCGACGCGCATGAGCGTGAGACGCCTACAGCGTGACTCACGCACGTGCACCCGGATAACGCCCACCCGCTCATACCCACAGAGGCATTAAAATTGGGTTTAGGTGAATCGATGATTTTTTTAAATCCCACATGTTGCTGTGATATGATTTTTCAGGAATCAAGAAAAACTTAATATTTTCAGAAGGAATACAAAAAAAAAAAAGATAATTTCTTGCCTCACTGTGTAGTTTTATGAGTTTTTAGAATTATACAAGCATATTCTGAAAAATAAAATTATATTGCATGATAAAAATCAATCATATGTGGGGATTTAAAAACAATTCACTAATTTAAGGACAATAATTAAGAATTTTATTTTAAATAAGTGAAATAAAACTGAAAATATTGTTAAAATCACATTTTTAATAATAGCTTACAATAATTATTACTTAATTTATTTATTTTAATCTTCAATTTCTGGCATTTCCAAGTAAAATTCTTTATATTCTTCTGGAATATATCGAAAAAGTTGTTGGAGCTCCTTGATCTTCTTTGAATTTATAGGAACATAACCATTTTTATATTTCTTGTCATCAGCACATGGCAGAGACACATTAGGTTCGCTTCCAAACTTAAATGTATTTTTTCGTGACGAGTTGTCAATAAAATTGTATGCTGTCATTCTGCCCTTTTCTTCTTCTTGATAAACTAGTTGCATGTAAGTGGATATTATTTAATATATTAAAGCGAAGTTTTTAATTCTTTCTAACATTTCTGCTTAGGGAATCTAAAGAAAGTCTATTTTTTTTATACAATTTAATCCACCAGTCTTTGAAGTTTAAAATCTCATCAGTTTGAACTGAAAGCACAGTAAAATTCTGTTTCGCAGAGGATGCTTTAATAATTTCCATTATTTTTTCTATAGAATATAATCGGTCTACTAGACGCAGTTTTCTTTTTGCGACTAAAACAAAATGGCTGAAATGCGTTCAAAAACACTACATGTTACAATACATGTGGTGTTTTTCAAATCATCATTCATTCGCGTCTACAATTTTTACTATGAAGAATGGCGGCACTTGTGGGGTTTTTTTTACACGAATCGATAGGTGGACGTCCATAGAGCATGAAACGATAGTAACCTCAAATCAGGAAAAAAATGTAACATGTGGGGTTTCAAAAATTATCGATTCAGGTGATGATTGACCCCTTGGATCGGACTGCCTTCTTGTAAAACTTTTTAAAATAGTTGTCTCTGGCTAACATAATATATAAAAATGGAGCTTCAGTATGTAAGTTTTCGCATTTACCACGGGGAGTGCTCTGAGGAATTGTTCGGATTAATCCCAGCCGCCAAATTCCACGAGCGCACATCGCGGCAGAACTCCCGATACCATCCACACCATCTGGATGATTGGCGGTCCACCACTGTGCGATTTAGAAGATGTTTTCTTCCTCGCACGACTTTTTTGTGGAATCGATTACCATCAGCGATTTTTCCGGACCGATACGACTTAGGGACCTTCAAGAAAAGAGCCTACTCCTTTTTAAAAGGCCGGCAACGCATCTGCAATTCCCTTGGTTCCCCTGGTGTTGCAGTTGTTCATGGGCGGCGGTAATCACTTACCATCAGGTGAGCCGCATGCTCGTTTGCCCCCTCTCCTAAAAAAAAAAATAAGTGAAATTGAGTAATTTTTTTTGAGAGCTTTATAGCATTTGCAAAGCGATACTGCCGCTGAAGTGTCTGGGAGTATTGATGATTGATTTTTAACGATATTATCTAACATATACGTAAAATCAGCTGGGAGAGTTAAAGTGAGGTGAGCAATGTTTTCACGTACCTTGATTACCTGATACCTGGAAAATGACCCTCTGGCCAAGCTAGCAGGTAGGCATGCGATCATAGCTTACATACTATTACTACTCAATGGTCCACATTTCGTTCGTCAGAAAATAAGTGACGTCTGGTGGCCCTGGGATCTTGCTCTAGAACGGTTTGCAGGCAGCTGCATCGCATTGCGAATAGAAATAAGTTTTGCATGAGATATTACGTAATGTTTGTGTTTTTTTTACTTAATTTACTTTTTATTTGCATGTGCAAAAGCTACGACAATGTTCATTGCAGTAGTTGTGATGACGTTCAAATTAAATCTAAAATATGTATAGCGTTCCTAATTAAGTGTCATTACTATTAATTTCAAGAATAATCCAAGTCTAAAACTTAATCGTTTATACCCATTATATTTCATCTAAACTATGCCACCTTCATCGCTTAATATATTTTTTTTACATTTTATAAACCCTCGTAATAAAAAGGTTATTTCCATGATATTAGTAACTGAGCAAGTTATAAAATATACATACCAAAAAATAGGAAATATTTCCGTCAATATTTTAGGTCTTTAGTATGGTCGTAACGTTTGGTTGAAAACAAAGTTAGACAATTAATGTAATGGCTATGAAGGCTTGGTAGCCATGGTAAAACACTCAAAACACACACTAAACTAGCGTCAAGGTCTAATAGGAAGTGATCAATAATCGACTTACAATGTCGGTTGAGGGCTACGTAAATAAATAACGGCTAATTATTGGCGCTGTGACCTTTTATCTTCGCCATTTCGTTCCATGTACATTTTTTTAAATCTATAATAGGCTTAGGTTTGACTTCAATCCTGACTAATGACCGGTTTACATTATCTTAGTCTTTAGGAGAGTCACTTAGGAAAGTACTGTGGAAACTTGCAATAAGATTTTAGTGAAAAGTACTACTCGCCGACTTACCTTCGATTAAATAGAACCGCTTCATATTTTTGTTTCAAGCACTTGCATTCGAGTGCTACTAATGTACTCTACTAAAGCGCTAAGGTAATGTAGACCGGCCATATTGTTTTGTGATACAATCCTAAACGGTAAACACCTACGCAGCGCTCCATCCCTTTCTTTCTTTGTTGATGTAAGTGTACTTCGGTTTTGTTATTCGTTATATTATTTATACGCAAACAAGGTAAATATTTCAATGATCATCCCAAAGTCTTATCTGAAAAAAAAAGACTCTATACCTAAAGTATCTAGAGATAAATAATATTTAGAAAGCATCTAAAGATGTGAATGATTATTTATAGTGACATATCCATTATGAAAATGGAGCATCGGACCTGTAGAAAACGATTCCATCGCTATATCTCGGTCTGGCGATGTCATACAAGTCTATTTATTGTAATATCACGAAAATCTCGTGACCTGCGAAAAATGACCATACTTGTATAATAACCATCTCGAATATCACCACAGGTTCCCTGTGCGCGAAACAGATACAATAGTAAACAATTAAAATGTTCATATATGATTCATGGGTCAGGGAAAGGGTTTAAAATGCACAGATAAGTTAGCGGTATTTTTCTTTATTATTATTTAATAAAGAACACTAGCAATACTATTAACATTAGGTACTAATATACTTTTAAACCACGCCTGATAAGCTTAAAATGCTTGTGTTCACGACAGTAGTCGAATGGTGGATTCGAACCCACTGCCATTGGGCTACTGTCGAAATTGAACGTGCTTTCTCGCCTACCAAGCGATATTATTGCAAATTATTCTAAATTATTATAGATATAAATACGTAGTTACAGTGAGATAATAAAGGTCATTTGTAAATTTTTATTTTATATGTCTTCAAAATATCTAGAATATGGTGAACAGAGAATTTCAGTTCTAAACAAGTATAAAAGTAATATATCAGTTAATAGTTCTATTTAATTTATAGGAAGCAATCGCCTATGGCTGGGAAGTTCCTTCACCCGAGGCTATCAAGATCAATTGGGCAGCGTTGACGGAGGCCGTACAGAACCACATCAAATCCGTCAACTGGGTGACCAGGGTCGACCTTAGAGATAAGAAGATCGAGTACATAAACGGCCTTGGAGAGTTCAAAGACCCCCACACTCTCGTTGCAACACTAAAGAACGGGAGCAAGAAGGAGCTGACGGCTAAGAACATAGTGATAGCAGTGGGCGGCAGACCCCACTACCCTGACATTCCTGGTGCTGTTGAATACTGCATTAGCAGTGACGACATCTTTAGTCTGAGCTACCCACCCGGGAAGACGCTGGTTGTTGGAGCTGGATGTGAGTACTCGTATAATATATTCAGGAGATATTAAATGAGCAATGAGCTAAAGATCCATCTGCTGGTAAGTGGCTACGGAAGACCATAGACACAACGACCCCCCCTATCAAGACTACTATGTCATCTCAGATATCTAACATGGAATCCCTTGCGGCCTGTAATAATACAGGCTCTTTTCTACCCTTCGAACGTACGTAAGCCCTTTCTGTTGTAGGGATAATTAGCAATCACAAATACCTGACATCTCGCTCCTTTGTCGTCTAGCTGACGTCACGTATAATTTATTGATTAATTTGTCAATACTCTGAGTGATATACAGCCAGGGGCGTAGCTACCGCCGTATCAGCCGTATCAATGATACCGGGCCCACAGGCTACAGGGGCCCCGAGAGTGTATAAGCAAAAATTCTAAGGACTTCTATGCGACAGGAAAGGCTATCAGACTTGTCAATATTGTCTATAGAGGCAAATATTTTAAAAAAACTGAAATCGTCTTCGGCTATGAATGATAAAAAATAAGTTTGCAGAACAAAAGACAAGAATAGTTTGGAAAATCCAGAATTTTTTGTCACGGCACTCATTTTATCGTATAAGCATTATTCTGTGGTATAAGTGCAATATGGTTATGATACAGGCATTTTAAGAACACTAAATCGCTTGACCTTGGCGTGTCGATAGTAAAGCACTACCTAATAACGCTTTGCGTTATGAGGTGTGCAAAAGTGTATATTTGATTTGAATTGTTTGACTAGTTTAGTTCCTAGGTGTATTAGTTGTAAGTAATAGCTTATAATCAATATATAATTATTTAATTGAATGCAAGCGTTTTTGTTCCCTTTGAGACAAATCTTTACTGTTCATTTGGGCCCCCCAATAAATTTTGATACAGGGGCCTTTAAGGCACGCTACGCTACTGTATACAGCATATCTGTTTTATAATAATATTATGTAACTTTTAATATAATAATAATAACACAAATATTTATTCGTTGGCCAAAAGTAGCAAAGCTAAAACAAATACAAAATAAGAATGTAAGGGACAATTATAGGTCTCAGACTCGGAATGTGTTGCTTACACAAACTAACTAGAAACACTAACGCGTGTTGCTTAGAAATATTATATCAATTTATTGTACCTACTGACGATGTGTTACAAAGTGACGTTGATAACGTGCTTGTCTATTATAATTTGTAAATTAAAAGGCAAAGTAACATATTAATACATCTTTGTCATATTTTATGATTTTTCTTTTGTAATATGTATTTTATTCTCGTTATACACTTTATTCTTTTGCCATGATTTTGTGTACTTTTTTTGATGATACTTTCTTGTTTAAAGTATACCTTCGTTTAATAGTTATTGCTATAATAATGTCAAGTTCATAATGAATATAGTATTATGTAAATAATTGTACATCTATGCCTAATGACTGCTACATAAAAAGGGCAATCCAATAAATTATTTTACATTAATTTCCAGTATACATATAAAGGACATAAAGTCCGTGTAGTGTTTTATGGCGGCGCGTAAAGTTCTTTCTTTGAATATAAAAAAAAAATTGTATAACTTTGTAATTCCAAAATTTGAGTAGCTAGCTCGATCAAATCAGGGTAAACTTGTATCTATAAATTTAAAAGTAATCAATTAAAATTAAATTGCTATACAGATATCGGTTTGGAATGCGCTGGATTCCTAAACTCTCTCGGATTCAACGCGACGGTGCTGGTGAGGTCGGTACCGTTGCGAGGTTTCGACCAACAGATGGCGCAGATGGTCACCAACGAGATGGAAGAGAAGGGAGTGAAATTCCACCACAAGTGCATTCCACTCTCCGTGGAGAAACTGGAGTCCGGGCAGCTTAAGGCGCGCTGGCAGAACACTGAGACTGGCAAACAGTAAGTGTCTTGATGAGCTAAATAGAACCTAAATGCATTTTGTCAGGGCATTATTTCCCGTTCCTTCAATGTATGTATTGTATAATATTTCCTGCGTCGTTAACTACTTCAATATTGAACTAAACATTAACAAAAAAGAAAACAATTGCTGTTACACAGAGTCACTGTGTTAGAAATCACTTAGGGCGGAGTTGGTGAATCATATCAGTAAAAAATTGAATTTTATATTTACATTTTTTTTTATAGGATAAAGGTGACAAACGAGCACACAGTCCACCTGATGGTAAGTGGTTGCTGTGGCCCATAGACATCTACATCTATCCTCTATTACAAATCAAAATGTAGATGCGTTGTCACCCGTGAGGACTAAGATGGAATGCCTCATTTCCAGTAAAAAGGGCCTCCGGCCACCTGCACTCACCAAGCGAAACGCAGAGGTAAACCTCTACTTCACGCTGGTTTTCTGTGAAGTCGTGGTACCACCCCGGTTCGAGCCGGCCCATCCGTGCGACAGCAAAAGCTGCCGCGTAGCTCTACCACTGTTACATTCTAAATTTCTCCTAAAAGTGACTAGACTAGTCTGCCCGATCATTTAAGTACTGATTCGTCTTACGAACCGAGTCGTTCGGGTCTCTGTACTCTGCGTTCTGTGAGACCCACTTGACCAAATGTTGGTCGTCGGACATTACTATACTATTTAGTCGTAGGTCCTGTCAATCGTTTGATCTGGAACATTCAAAAAATGTTATTGCAATCATCAATACTTTGATGCGTCTCGGCTCAAATAAATGAATCATTCACGATTGACACATGTCTACTAAACGCACATGCGAAGGTACAGACAGGCTTAGATTTACCTTAGAATTACAATATAAAACATTCATAGAATTTATTTTTCCTTTCAGGTTTGAGGACGTATTCGACACTGTCCTTATGGCGACGGGTCGCTATGCTCTCACCAAGGCGTTAAACCTACCAGCAGCCGGCATCACTGTAAGTGCCTAATTTAATTTTCCTCTAAACCATCATTCTTCTGTTTGCAACACAGAGTGCAATGGGCACGTAACGTCCACACGTTATGTGCCCATGCACTTTTCCACAAAAAGGCACGAATAACAATTCATTGTGTTAGTCCATACCTTGACATATGGTAGTGAAAGTTGGGTGTGATAGAAGAAGCATGAGAGTAAAATTAATGCTGTAGAAATGCATTCATTAAAAAGTATGTGTTAGGGGTGATTCTGAATGATGGGATCAGAAATTGTGTGATAAGAGATAAATGTGGCTTGCAAGATGTTGTTAGCAGGATGATGAATGGAATACTTGGGTGGTTTGGACACATAGAAAGAAGAAAGAGTGATAGAGCAAATTTATTCTGCCGATATAAGTGATGGTGTTAGCAAGGGACAACTTAGACAGAAGTTTATCGACTAAATTGGCGAAATTGTTAAGCTGTTTGATGGTAAAGCATTTATTACTGATACTGTTTTCGTGTACGCCGTGGCGGAGACATATAGTATAGAATAAATTTTATTTTATTCTATACTATTCATCAGTCAACTTACCGATAAGTCGTCGAATAGTCGCGTCATCATATCACATCGGTCACGTCAGTCGTGACGTCACAGACGTGTGGGGTCGATGCCCTAAGACTTATATTTTTTGACGTGACGTGTGTGCGCACGAGCTCTGTAAGCAACGTTTGTGCTGCAGTGCGTGACGAAGAACGGCAAGATATCGGCGGCTACGGAGCAGACGAACGTGCCGCACGTGTACGCTGTGGGCGACGTGTTGGACGCGCGGCCCGAGCTCACGCCGGTCGCGATCCACGCGGGCCGCCTGCTCGCGCGCCGCCTCTTCGCCGGCGCCACCCAGCCCATGGACTACGACAACATCGCCACCACCGTCTTCACGCCGCTAGAGTACGGCTGCGTCGGCCTCAGCGAGGAGCTCGCGATCGAGAGGTGAGTGGGACAGAGAGGGAGAGAGAAGATGAGTGTGCGAGAGAGAGACGAACGTGGCGTATGTGCACGCGGTGGGCACCGCACAGCACATGGACTACATCAACCAATCAATTAAATTGATCATACAATCGTTGGAAAGACTTGGCAGCGCCGCTGACGGACGTGCAGAGAACCAACATTTATTAACCAGCTTGGTCGACTGGCTTCCCTCGAGGCTGCTGAACCCCTGACAACGTCGCCACCACCGTCTTCCTCACGTCATCGTCTTCCGACGCTAGCGTACGGCTGCGTCGGCGTAAGCGAGTAGCTTGCGCTGGAAAGTTGAGAGTGAGACAGAGATCTGTCTCTCTCTCTTTCGAGTGTGCGAGAGCGAAAGGGAGAGAAAAAACAGATTGATGGTACGAGGTGAAGAATGAGGCCGGAGACACTAATCTACAGAATTATTTACAATCGTGTCCAATCTTGTTTAGATTTATTTACCACATACCACATATAAATTAAAAAGAACAGAGAGGAGGCACCTTATGGAGCTATTAGTCCCCTGTTCTGCTTCGTATGTTTTGGCGGATTTCGCACCATGTCTATTAAAATTGCTATCAACAATTTCATGTGTGCCAGCAGGAGGGATCTTAGTTATCTACGCAAGTAGCATACCATACCACACTAGGGCTCTACCTCTATCCTAAGGGACCATTGTCTTACCGCCGGGTCTCCTGCTATCGTCTCAAAATATTCATTCCACAAGGCTATAAAACCGAAGGAACATTTATAGAGACAAGAGCCCTTCGGATAACATCGTTCAAAGAATCGTGCCGTGAAAACCTAGCAACACTTTTCTTACATAAAAGTCCGTGGAGCCCAAACTCGTCGACGCTACTACCACAGGGGTACTGATGGGGTTGACAAATCGCCGTTCCTAGTTGGATTACTACGGCGATGTGCAAGGTTTCCTTTCCCCATCAAGTAATGTGCCGAGATTAATTAATGGTAAAGCGTGTAACCAGTGAGTAGATCAGGTTTATTTAAATATTTTTAAATTATCAACCTCCAGAGAAACTGTCTGCCCTTTTGTGAGAATTTTTTATTATATATTATAAACACGCTGTAAAAACGGCAGATTAAATCAAACACTTGGAATTTTGGAAAATACTGCTTTGGGGTATTTTGTCCCTATGTCAACCTCTGCAGAAGTGTCAGCCATTAATTTTCTTAATTATTTATCAACTTAGCTCATTATTATTATTTGAATCAAATACTTTTTTTGGGCGAATTTTTTTTCGACTTACCTGTATGCGCAGTAACAGGTGTACCCAGGTAGGCCAGGCAAACAGTCAAATATCTGCTTATTGAGTGTCTTCTGTCCTTTTATCTTTTATATTCAGAATGTGTGGTCCTGAATTATCTAACTGTTTGTCATTCATAAATATCTAACGCCTACTATTTTACTACGCACGCACACGCGTCGCACACAGAAGAATGCGCGCCCGCGTTATTGTTGCCCATACCATGCGTTCAATTTGGGATAATTCCAAATAAAAGTATCAGCCTTATTTACTCGTATTTTCAAAAACTACAATAACTGTATATTGTTATTTATATATTTGAACTTAAATATAAAATTTGCATACTCTTTGAAAAATAACCCTGTATAAGTGTGAAGCGGCCACTAAACGTATGGACGGTTCCTCAGGCACGGCGCGGACAACATCGAAGTGTACCACGCCTTCTACAAGCCGACGGAGTTCTTCATCCCGCAGCGCAACATCCGCAACTGCTACCTGAAGGCGGTGGCGGAGCTCGCGGCCCCGCAGCGCATCCTGGGGCTGCACTTCGTGGGGCCGGCCGCCGGAGAGGTCATCCAGGGCTTCGCCGCAGCCATCAAGTCAGTACACAGTACACCCGCTTCATTCATTCATAAATTCATTAATTCACTTTTTCATTCATTTATTAACAAATTATTCAATCATTCATACATACAATCATTCACTTACCTAATGCACCCAACACAAGTTCACTGTTCATAGGCCATAGATTGCCTCATAGGGCTAATTTGCCATTGTTGTATTGCTTGGAAGGCAGAATGGCAACCACAATATTTAATTATTTTGAACTGTTATCAGAAAAGTTGTTTGAGCTCCTACCCAATTCCTGTTTCAGTTTTCCTCTGTCCCCCCTTACGACACTCATGGGGCGATATGGGGTAGTCGACTCTCTAACGCCGCCACGACATAGCATTCAAGGCATTTTATTCAAATTCAGGCGAAATATATTTTGTATAAAATTAGCCTTTACAAAGCAATGTTTACGTGGAAATGTCGTCAGCTTAATAAGCCCCTACTGCTGGAAGCCTTGTGTGGCAAGAAATTCAAATGTCATCGATGGTGGCGGTAACGGAAATAATTGGCAATTCGAACATTGGTCCTTCGAGCTGGATCAATTAAGCTCAGGAAAATGTGTCGATATGTTCGTCGTCTCATTGATTAATAATTTTATATTTAGATGCTGCCTATTTAAAGGTTTCCACAGTGTGCCACTAGGAACTATCTCACAATCAATTTAATCTCGTATTATTAGACGTCTGGTTAAATCGGACCTAAATTAATATAGTTTGAAAATTTTAGACAATATTGAAAGGATAGTTAAATTTCAAAGGATATATTTAACAGTGATTTATATACAACAATTTACCTCATGGTTTATTACACGATACAAACAAGTAACTTAAGCCAATATTTCAGATGCGGCATCACAATGGAACAGCTCATGAACACTGTGGGTATCCACCCCACGGTGGCGGAGGAGTTCACGCGACTCAACATCACCAAGCGCTCCGGCAAAGACCCCAACCCCGCCTCCTGCTGCAGCTAAACTCACTCACCCTCACTTCTCTACCCCACCAACTCACCTTACATGATACAAAGCGGCAAGACAAGACCAACAATATAGACAATATACAACTTTGTAAACTAAACCCAGTTTATTTATAGTTAATAAAATTTTAAAAATATGTTTACTTGGTTTATTCTCAGTAGTTCGATTTCGAAGTTCTAGTAACGAACAACTTACACTTTATTTTCTCAATAGTTTGACGTTAGAACTAGAAAGTGAATTTTGAATCGTTCATCTACTTATATTTTGAACGTGTACAAACTTTCATTTCTAGCATAAGGGATTAAAGTACTTCACATAATAGTGTAAAGTTTAATATTTTAAATAAAAAAAAAATTAAATTTTAATTACTGTTTATATAAATAACGATACATTTCGATATAAGTTTTAAATAGCTGTGAAACTATTGAATATTTTCCGAATCTTACATAACTCGAAAGAGCTCTTAAAACGTCATAATAAAATTGTTAACGCTTATGTAACAGTTTTTTTATTGTTAGAATAAAAACCGAAAGATGCATTTGTTAGATTATCTGTGATCATTCCTTTTTGTTTGTGTTGTGCATTTAAAAAAAATCTCTAAGTTTGACTAAAAGCCTTGTAGCCAATACCGCAATAAATAAATAAAAAAAAAGCCTCTGTAATACGGATCTCAGAATTACGTGAGAATTTGTAATGTACGAAAATGTATGGAGTACTCAAATCAAAGAAATCGCACGACTTTCCATTGCCTAAGAACCCATTATACATCAATCTTACATTAGTCTGCAGAATGAAAAATAATATTGACCATTAAACTTTATTTATGTACACTTAATTGTTTGATATTTACATTTGTTATTCATACAATGTTACAGAAATAGTACAAAAAAACTTATTCCAATAAATCGCTAGTTATTGCCTGAATGTCTTGGTCTTGGACGTTTATAAGTCACAAAATCGTGTCGGATTTTTATTACAAGTTTTATGCCGAGTAAATATTTATTTGATCGATTCGTTAAAATAGTGCAAAAAATATTTCTAGCAAATATTTCTTAATTTTTAACCTTAAATCAGAATTACTACGAATTCAGATACAGTATTATTATTTCTATTAGGCATTACTTACCAGTATGTTGTGCCGTCATCACGCTACCAATAACACATCTCGATGACTACATACTTAAACATTATAATTTTATAATTTATTACCATTATATTACACTTATAAAAATAGTTTTCAACATAATAAAGTATATTTTTCACAACTTCTTTTTCAATTTCCTCCCATAAATATGTTGTGTTAAGCTTTTTTATAACTTATAATAACGTAATGGTTTCTTATGTTTATGTCGAACACTACGCATTTAAATGAAACGTGTTTTACGAATTTTATAGTGTATATTAACTTAATATTTAAGTCAACTTTGTGTGGATTTAAGTTTGAAAAATGCTATTATTGCTATTGGTCGTGATCTGGTACTGGCCGACACATTATGTATTGTTTTTTCACAAAATAAAAAGAAATTTATACAGAAATGATGCCGTATGGTCGTGGCTTAAGAGAGATGAGACATCTTATTTCTAGATGTGCTATAACAAGTTCAAAAACCGCGACAGATGATATACCATCTCGTTTATGACAGATGTAAATACCCAGAGCCCACTCGAGCGACGGGAAGCGCTGTATAAAACGAGGGATTTAATACTGTAATTACTAATCCGCCTTGCAGGATGAGTACGGCAAATCCTTCCTACAATTTAATGGGAGATGTCCATGCCCAGCTGTGGACTGAAATGGGCTGTTAAAGATTAAGCACATTGTCATCAAATAACATATCTTAGAACGTTTTATACTGACATCTGACATGAATATGGTACAAGTGGTAAAATTAAAAATTTTGTACCACCGACTTCAATATAAATTATTAAGGACTAGCTGTGCCCGCGGCGTAGCTCGCGTATATAGTTTTTACATAAAGAATTTGTCGTTTAGGTAAGAGAATATTAAACGATTTATATCATTACTGTATCAATAAGTGGTAACAAATAAATCATTATCATCAAAGTTCTAAGTAGTTTATGATAGAGCTTCGGTGTAAACGACGTTAGAAGTAGGCTTAGCCGGGGTGTACACAAAAAGGTTACGGGGGCTACTAACGCGGTAAAAAGCAACATAGAGTTGGCCATGTGCAAAACAGTCAGTACTGAGGTCCACTCTTACAACGCGTAAATTTTGACCTTGCACTTTATTTACGGTCATCGCATAACACACGCTGACTGTAACTGGGAACTGAACACGCTTAAAACTGAAAGGAAAGTTACTTCTTAATAGAGGGTTTTTTGGCAGTGCTGCCAGATCAAAAAAACTCATTCAGCGCTAGGACAACACAAAAAGCGCTAGATTTCATGAAAACAGCGCTTTAAAAAAGCCCTAGATTTTGCGCTAAATTAACTACAAACAAAGTTTGTGTTTTTTATTATAATTTATAATTCAAGAAAATATAATCATAATAAAGAAAACAACATTAAGTTTTTTTCTGGCAATATTTTTTGATGTATCAATACTTCGCAGGACATCGACTTATAATTATGGCAATTGCTGTCAACAGTAGTTAGTACTACTCTAAGTAACTTTTAACTTAGCTGTGCTCTAAACAACTGACTAAAACTGAATAAAGCAAAATAAATGCATTGCCAAAACCATGAACGAAAACTTTAATGAAGGGGATTTCCCCGCTTATAGTCGTCGATAAAAAAAATCAAGTTGATCATCCTAAAGGGGAAGCCGGGAGATCCATAGCACAGGGTATCCTAGTTTGGACTCGTCTCCCATGCTCTTTGTTTTGTGGAAAAAATATGTTTGAAAAAGATAAACTGCAATGTACTATTTGTGGAAAAAAATAATAAAGGTCATTATTATTATTATCGGTAATGTGGACTAACAGTGCTGCTATAAAAGAGTTAATAACCCGCTAGTCGCTACAATTTTGAAATTTGTGCTAAATACACCAAAAAGCGCTGGATTAAGTGCTAGGTGCTAAAATTTCGAAATGCGCGCTATACATTCCAAAAAAGCGCTAAATCTAGTTCCTAAAGCGCTAAAATGGCAGTACTGATTTTGCGTATATTATAAATACAATATCACGACATTTCGTTGCAATTTTGTTATTTTTGTTCGGGTTCCGTTGTATGGCTTCGATAGATACTAATTTCTTCAGTAAGTTTCAATACGATTCATCGGCGAAAAATCTCAACACAGCAAATCAGAAAAGTTTGTAATTTGTATAACTCCATCTATTACGTCCTTTGTGTGAGAAAACATCCTTTTTTAAATCTCTTTTTATGTTTTAAGTATAAATATATTAATTATTATGGAACGTTTTTTTTACACACAAATCTTTTTATTACTATTTTTGTGATTTTTATGGCGCCATTGAACAAATTCGAACCTACATTTTAAAATAATAATCATTACTTTCGATAGAATTAACCAATTTTAATAAAACAAAGATTAAATGTAACTTGAAGATACGCTTTATGATTTTCTTAACGATTTCTTTGAAAAAATAAGATGTTTACTTTAGACGTGATGCATTCATATAAAAACAGACAAACAGACAGACAGACAATTCTAAAAATTATAAAAATGTACTTATTTAATTATTTTTAGTTCCCCATAATGATTTTAGTCACCAAAATAAATATACAATGTACAGAAAGAGACACAACATGTTATCATCATTTTTATTATATGTATATATTTAATTGAAGAGAGATGGCGCTGCTAACATCAACTTGATGACTCAAACAAAGCCACCGTTGAGCAAATTCCCTACCCATACTTCAGAATATTTATCATAACTTTTGATGGAATGAACCGATTTTAATGAAATAAAGACTAAATGTAACCCGAAGATACACTTTATAATTTCCTTAACAATTCTTATGATATAAATTAGTTCTTTAAACGTGATACGTTAACAAACAAACAGACAGACAGACAGACAGACAGAAAATTCTAAAAATGGTAGAAATGTATTTAATTACTTATTTTTAGTACCCCTCAATCACTTTTATTACAAAAATATAAAATGTACAGACATCTGCTATTTACAGTTTTATTATATGTATAGATAACTCAAAAACTACTGGTCAGTCCTTGATCAATCACACGACAACCACCAGCTTTCAAATAAAAAAAGAATCATTAAAATCGGTTCACGGAGAAAAAAAGTTATGAGGTAACACAAAAAAAAAACAGTAATTGACTACCTACTCCTTTTTGAAGTCTTATAAATTACATTACATAAGATTTACTGGATACAAATAATATTGTTTAATTAGTAATTAGACATTGAGAAGCGGGGTTTCTTTAACTACATTTATACACATCATTACATAAACTTCATCAATAATTAAAGTCGACTAAATGAAGTGCTGACCTGGAAAAAGATGCAGGGTGGACTTGTAAAGGACCGTACAAGATAGTGATAGTTAATCAAACATAATACAATACTCTGCGGCAAATACAGGTTCTAGGAAAACATTGGTCTCTGTTCCTTAAAGCTTACAAAATTAAATATGTATGTAGTGGACTTTATAACCTTGTGTTTTATAAAAAGTAGAGGTACTTTAGTCATTATTGTAATAATATACAAGGTTACGTTTATGGTGGCATTTCACATGGATATTGTATTTGCTGTATTTGACAAATAACTTCCATGTGTGGAGAGTATATTTGCCATACTTATTGCCGTATTTGCCTATTTGGCAAATATAGCCAATAACAAATACGGCTTACCGATCGTCTGTCGGTTTTTCAAGGCTCATCAAAAGAGACAAATAGGCAAATACGCAAATATACTGGCCAGTGGCCACACATGGTTGGGCTCATAAGCGCTCGAACTGTCAACCAGTACGGACGGACCTGTTTATAACTTCTTAATAAGTGATTTTTTAGGTACCTACGAAAAATGAATTGGGACAAAGAAACCGTCGCCTTGTTCTTGGTCGTTTTTTCATCGCTTTGTATTTTTTTACGCATAACGCATAATAGTAACATGCGTTCAAATAATAAAATCCAGCTGCAAGTGCAACGTCCATTTTATAGGTACAACAACTTTCTGCTAGCAAACATGTTAAATTTTTTGGTATTTGGCTCCATGTGTGTTTCGCTTATTTGCCCGTACGTCCAATTTTTTGCCAATTACGGCAACATGCAATCACAAATACAAATAGCCATGTGAAGTGCCACCATTATGTGGATAACGAAATCGCGCGTATTAGAGTTCCTCATAATACTATGGCTTACCTTAGTAGAGACGTATAGTGATTATATACTTTGCTTGCTTGTGACAGTTCTCTAATTATTATTCTAGTTATTAATTATACAGTATATAACAAAATTATTATTTTTCTAACACAGCACATTACATAAACGCAATGGTTATTTATAATTTAGCAAAAATAATATGCACTAGCATAAAAAAAATATAGTTTTAAAAAATTAACGTGACAAAGGCATATCATGACGCAGTCTGTTAATGTCTTCTATCGCACTTCGTTTATTATCGCAAGTTTTGCAGTATCATGGTTCATCGTTGGTAACGTATTTGCCCATCTCCGGCGTGGGCTCGCAGGGAAACCAGATCTGCGCAGTTGGCAGCGGGTAATACCTATGGGCCTGCACCAACTCGTTATCGAATCGCCAAAATCGAGGCCCATGGAAGAAATATGTATCTGAAAATAGAATATGAAAAAAAAAGTATTAATAACTTGAATATGATAAAAGTATACATTGTGCATCATAATACTTATAAAAGCTGTATAGTGGCGAGGTAAGAAAATCCGCTACCCCATATCATCACACGCGCCAGAGGAATACAAAAACGGAAGATGGACAATTATCTGATACAAACTTAAAATACGCAGTGGCCAACTCGCCACTGCCAAGCGCGACAACTGGCGTATGTTTAGCAGTGGACTTTGTATAGGCTGTAATGATGATGATAGAGCCGTGGTAGCTCAGATGGTTAGCGCTCCCTGTAAGTTTCACAGTACGCGAGAAACCCAGGTTCGATCCCCGCCGGCACCAATGAAATTGTTAATTGCAATTTTAAGTGCTGATTTACCACGTGCTCGGCGGTGAAGGAAAACATCGTAAGGAAACCTGCATGTCTGACAAATAAGAAAAAAATATATATAGATTTCGAAGACATGTGAAGTTTGCCAACACGCTTTGCGCCAGCGCGGCGGATCTTTCCTTGCCCTAAAACCACAGAATACATTATATATCCTAAAACCCTCTCAGAAATGAGAGGAGGCCTGTGCCCAGCAGTGGGACGTGTATATAGGCTGTAACTTTAACTTTTAACTTACTTTAATGATGATGATATGTACCTATATATGCAGGCACCTATACAGTTGCTCTTAGCTCTACTTGTAATTTGCACAACAGAGCTAAAGTTACAAAACTATAATTATCCTATTATCGTGGAGGCGTTTTAAATAAATTGATAGCATATAGACAAACATCCACACCAGAGCCAAAAAAATAGTTTGAATAATCTGTGGCCATACAAAAAAGTTCTGTGCGTGATCTGAACCCAAAGCGTTGTAGCCAAGAACCAACTCTACCGAGCTGTCATACTTTTTCTTTTTAAAATTAAAATAAAATATTAGCAATGCTATAACTTTAAAATAATGTACAAAAAATAAATATTCCCTATAATCACTCCTGGTAAGCTTAAAATGCTTGTGTTAGGAATAGTTCACTATAGTGGTCGAATTGCGGATTCGAACCGATGACATTTTGAGTTCTGCCATTAAGCTGTTGTCGCTTTACTACGTATACACTATACATAATTACTACTATACCACATTAACACCCAAGGCGTGGCGAGAAGAAATAATTGTGAAAATATTTTTCTTTAGATTTCGAATGGTTATATTATTGTTTAATGAATTGCCCCTAAATCCACGACATTTTCTGCCACCAGGGCGGCGCCACTAGAAAGTGAGGTATAATATTTGACAGATTTCACAGCGGGGAAGTTAAGTTGTTCGGAAAATGTAAAAGTAGTTGCCTCTTTCTGTACTATTAGCTATATTTTATAATAATAAGATTAAAAATAAATACCAAACAACAGACATGTATTCATGAAAATAAAAATAAAGTTAAAAATGTGCAAAAAAATTAAAGAGCAAACCACTCACGGATTGTTTTGTATATTAATATGATACTCTAGAAGCTGATAAACTTTTATTAAGGGGCTACTCCATGCGAACGACCTTGAGCATTTGACCGCTTGCTACAATATTAATATATTGTAGCGAGCGGCTCGCCGGAAGAAATATGTAAGACGCCACCTATTGTACGAAAGTAGTATTATTTTTTCAACATCAATAAACTATTTTATGGAAATACACATAGCGTACAAAGATAAATGTATTTTAATTTTTTTATTCTGTATATATTAGTTGCATTATATTAGAATTATGTAGTTTCATATATTATCTAATTATGAAATTTTATAATTAATTATATATTAAAACTGAAGCATTGAAAATTGTGAGTTTAAAAGACACCTATTCACTATAGGTAAATAAATAGATAGCTCGGCTTTTGTACAAATATTTGGTGCAATAAAAAATAAATAAATAAATAGGATGTTTCGCATATGTGTTTTTGATTATTGTTAATTTTTACGTGTCACGTATTGAAAAGTTACCTACTAATTTTTGAACTTATGCTGGCAGATATTATCCTCACCCCAATGATTGATGAGGATGAAAATCAATTTTATTTCTACATACGTAATTATATTTATTTATACATAAGGGTAACTTTAATAAAGGTAATACAAAAATCAACAAGAAGTATAAGGGTTCAATCTTTCAATTTCAGTTGTAAAAAAACGTTACCCCCACACTAGGATTTTCTCCTGTGTCGTGGAGGCAGTTTACAAACATAAATTGCACAAAGACAAACATCCAGACCCGGAACAATTATTTGTAGGCCATACAAATACTTGTTCCATGCGGGATTCGAACCCGCGGCCCCCAGCGCAACAACTGATTGCTAAGCCACTGCGCCACCATGAAGCTAATACAAAGACTAACTTTGTATTTGCTTCATGGTCGCCGGGTTATAGCTAAAGTGACCATACGTCCCGTTTTGAACGGGACTGTCCCTTTTCTCGGTCTCCTGTCCCATTGTCCCCAAACAAAGCTCCGGGACACAAAATTGTCATGTAACTAGTTGGATGAAAGTATTCAAAGTCAACAATCTTCAAAATAATTTTTTTTAATCGAATATATTTTATGTCTACCTGGTACGAATGCTCCGGTAGAAAGAGTATTTTTTTATTTTGCATAAATTGTGGACGTCTGAAAGAAACACTTACGGTTCCAGAGTTCTAAAGGCGATGTTGTTAACAAAGATAACAATAAAAAACTTGAGCAGAATTTTATTCTTATTTAAAATCATCACCAACTTTATTAAAGCAAATTTAATCCACTGACAAATGTAATTAATAATTAAAAAAAATATGTTGCATTTAATAAATACCGAATATAATTTTATAGTGAACACTAATTGTATAAAGTTATAGTTTTTAGAGTATAAATAAACCCATGTCCTGTTATGAGTTAAAAAATAAATGGTCAGTTTAGTCTTTTTAGTTAAATTTAGTTTTAAAAATTTTTAGTTTATAGTAAAAAGTAGGTATATTAGTACTTTTTACCGAATTATAAGTATAGAACACCTTATGTACTCAATTATTTTTTGAAAAAGAAGAAAAAACAAGCAATAAATAATATACTATATTTTAGCAAAAACTATAACTTAGTAATACTAATTATAACTTAGAACATAAATGAAAAACTCATAACTGACTTTTTGGCCCGACCCAGGATTCGAACCCGGGACCTCATGATCAGCAGTCGCACTACTACAACCACTAGACCAACGAGGCAGTACTATACCTGATAAGATATTGTGGTTGGGTGATAATATTGAATTAGCCTTTTATAGTGTAAATTATAATATTTGTCGAAATTTTAATTATAGATTCGAACCTTACATGCTAATGGTGCTTCATTTTTTTATTTGCATTTACTTCAAAGAAAATACACGCAAAAAGCTTCATCGCGCAGTAAAAAACACAACAAATATATGTATAACTAATACGAAAAATTATACCCAAAACAAACAAATAATACTACCTATAAATAACCTAATAAGTAATATTATTTATCGACTGATATTACGTGAGTGTATGCGGCACTGGTCGACGCTCTAACGACACGGGCTTCGCGTCGAAGAGCTCAGGGCTCAATGACTCCAGCAAGCCCGTGAGCAGTGAATATGCCCAGATTTTAAAATAATTTCTTAATAAAATCAAATTTTGGTCTTTTGAAAAAAAATTTACTATAGAAATGTTCATTAATAAATTGCCTATCCATTGGTGTAAATCGCAAAATAAAATAATACTTACTTTACGAGGAGATGCATGTTATCAATAATAATTTCACATTTATGTGGTTTCGTTGTAAGGAGATTATATTAATATTTATTCCTTTAAAAAAAAATTGCATATAGCTTTTATGGAATCAAGATTATGTAGAAATATAATGTGTTTTTTATTTGTTGATATATCTTTTAAATAAAAAGTAGATAGCTTCTAAAAACCGCCCAAATAACGACTAGCGCGACATTTTGCTCAACCTGCGCCTTAAAACCAACTTCTCAATTAAATTACATTGTGTAACAAAACAACTTTACCTCAGTGTCAACTAGCGACTTCTGGTGAGCAAAAAATTATTAGCCCTCATTGACAACGATAATACATTCATTGAAATTGTATGATGTATGACTTTAAAGTCATTTGTACTATGCCTATAACATTTGCACAAATGCAAGCAATAAGTTGACAAAGTTTTCAGCGCAATCTGATGAACGGTATGGCAGTGCATAAAATACGAACAAATAAATATTAATTTTTATTTAATAGATAGAATAAATAACGGATATCCCAAAAATGTTATTTTATAATGAAACTAGCTGTGCCCGCGGCGTAGCTCGCGTATACAGGTTTTACATAAAGAATTTGTCGTTTAGGTAAGAGAATATTAAACGATTTATTTCATTACTGTATCAATAAGTGGTAACTAAATAAATCATTATCATCAAAGTTCTAAGTCGTTTATGATAGAGCTTCTGTGTAAACGACGTTAGAAGTAGGCTTAGCCGGGGTGTACACAAAAAGGTTATGGGGGCTACTAACGCGGGAAAAAGCAACATAGAGTTGGCCATGTGCAAAACAGTCAGTACTGAGGTACACTCCTACAACGCGTAAAGTTTGACCTTGTGCTTTATTTACGGTCATCGCATAACATAAACTCACTGTAACTGGGAACTGAACGCGCTTAAAACTGAAAGGAAAGTTACTTCTTAATAGAGGGTTTTTGGGCAGTGCTGCCAGATAAAAAAAACTCATTCAGCTCTAGGACAACACAAAAAGCGCTAGATTTCATGAAAACAGCGCTTTAAAAAAGCCCTAGATTTCGCGCTAAATTAACTACAAACAAAGTTTGAAAGTTTGTGTATTTTTATATAATCATAATAAAGAAAACAACATTAAGTTTTTTTTCTGGCAATATTTTTTTGATGTATCAATACTTCGCAGGACATCGACTTATAATTATAGCAATTGCTGTCAACAGTAGTTAGTACTGTACGAACAATAAAAATGTCATTAATTGTTTTAAAGTGCAATGTATTTCGCAACTTAGTTTCAGATGTCAGCATCTGATTGCGGTTGCTACACAGTTTCTTTGTGTTATAACTTCTAAGTAACTTTTAACTTAGCTGTGCTCTAAGCAACTGACTGAAACTGAATAAAGCAAAATAAAAGCGTTGCCAAAACCATGAACGAAAACTTTAATAAAGGGGATTTCCCCGCTTATAGTCGTCGGTAAAAAAATCAAGTTGATCATCCTAAAGGGGAAGCCAGGAGATCCATAGCACAGGGTATCCTAGTTTGGACTCGTCTCCCATGCTCTTTGTTTTGTGGAAAAAATATGTTTGAAAAAGATAAACTGCAATGTACTATTTGTGGGAAAAAATAATAAAGGTCATTATTATTATTATCGGTAATGTGGACTAACAGTGCTGCTATAAAAGAGTTAATAACCCGCTAGTCGCTAAAATATTGAAATGTGTGCTAAATACACCAAAAAGCGCTGGATTAAGCGCTAGGTGCTAAAATTTCGAAATGCGCGCTATACATTCCAAAAAAGTGCTAAATCTAGTTCCCAAAGCGCTAAAATGGCAGTTCTGATTTTGCGTATATTATAAATACAATATCACGACATTTCGTTGCGAAATTTTTATTTTTGGTCGGGTTCCGTTGTATGGCTTCGATGGATACAAATTTCTTCAGTAAGTCTCAATAGAAAGAAAGAAAGAAAGAAAGGTTTATTCTCCAAAATGACGCCATCACATATAACATAAAAAAGAAACACATAATTTACAAATAATATTGGCTATACAATACAAATTACAATATACTACATATTACAAACTATACAATACCAATACTCATATGTGTCAAGGCGTCATCTACGATACGATACATCGGCGAAAAATCTTAACACAGCAATTCAGAAAAGTTTGTAATTTGTACAACTCCATCTATTACGTCCTTTGTGTGAGAAAACATCCTATCTCTTTTTGTGTTTTAAGTATAAATATATTAATTATTATGGAACGTTTTTTTTACACAGAAATCTTTTTATTACTATTTCTGAGATTTTATGGCGCCATTGAACAAATTAGAACCTACATTTCAAAATAATAATCATTACTTTCGATAGAATTAACCAATTTTAATAAAACATTGCATTGCATTTTCACAACACCACCATCTATCGAAGAAATGGGTTAACTATTGTGCTTCAGATTTAGTTAATAACGTTAATATATTTTTGTATAATATATTTAATGCGTTCTTTATTACTTTTGTTTACTGCGTTTTAGATATACATAATTACATCATTATTTTACATAATTTAACTATGATTTATGATATGATATTAGTTTAAAATGCACTTGATGACTCAAACAAAGCCACCGTTGAGCAATTCGTACCTATACTTCCCTACCCATACTTCAGAATATTTATCATAACTTTTGATGGAATGAACTGATTTTAATGAAATAAAGACTAAATGTAACCCGAAGATACACTTTATAATTTCCTTAACAATTCTTATGATATAAATTAGTACTTTATACGTGATACGTTAACAAACAAACAGACAGACAGACAGACAGACAGACAGACAGAAAATTCTAAAAATGGTAGAAATGTATTTAATTACTTATTTTTAGTACCCCTCAATCACTTTTATTACAAAAATATTAAATGTACAGACATCTGCTATTTACAGTTTTATTATATGTATAGATGAAGTTAAATTTCATGATTTCATTTCAATTGACTCATTTACTTCTAGAAGATCGTATGAATAAACTAATGGGAAAAAAACTTTGTACAGATTTTAAGACTGTAATGACGATGATACCTACTCTTGATTCAAACCATTCCAAAAGCAAATATTCGACCTCACTTATAGCGACTGTGTGGTATCTATTAGATCATTACCTCCTTGCCAAATAATAAAAAAAAACATAAACTCCACTAATAAAGATTATAATAAACTCTTTAAAATATGTGGTATACTGCCTATAGAATTAAAAGTGAAAATGTCTATCTTAATTGAACTATATAACAATATTGAATATAAACAGGAAAGAGAGTATACGTACCCAACACGACTATCTAGAACACACAAGCTGTGTGTTCCAAATGTCAATTTTTTTTTATGGAAAACGTGAAAGACGATGGATAACGACCGTATTTATTAATCAGCTACCTCATGATTTAATAAAGAATATAGAAAGTAAAAATAACTTAAAAAATACTCTAAGAAAGCATTACTTGTCTCTATGTCCATAGTCGTATACCGGTTAAGAACTTCAATATGCTTTGTTTAATTTCTTGTTACATTTTTTTTTTACTTTTTAGGTAGTTAATAAGTTTTGTTTATTGTATTTTATTTTTCCTTATTTTGTGCTCCTTATAAAAGTAGTACATAAATATGTGTATCCACGAGAACTGCTGCCGACAAACTGTGTTCACAGTTTGGCAGGTTGTGATTGTATGTATTATGTACTTAGAATTGGAAGCAAATAAATTAAAAAAAAATTACCTCCTTGCCAAATAATGGCAGCGTCCACGGGATACGGTACGAGCCGCCACGCGGACATCTCTTTCGGGTAACCGGGGTCCATCCTGCCACGATCCTCGTCATAGCGCCAGTAGCGCTCGTGTTCAATAAGGTAGGTCTTGTTGTTGTAGTTGGAAACGAAGACGGTGGAAAGTCCAGGCAAATAACGCGGTAGACCGTAGTCTGATAGCTTCCCACGACGCAGGAGACGGAACGTTGAACTGAACTCCCAGTACACTCGGCCTGACAAGTCAAAAGCAGATTATATGTAATTAGCAGCTATACCTTACCAGGATGTTGTAGCGACATTGTTGGAAATATATCCATGGCTTCCTATTACAACTGAACGAAATGTAGCTATTATTTTAATTCTACAAAAAAAATTGAAAGATTTTTTATAGGATACGATGACAAGCGAGCGCACAGTCCACCTGATGGTAAGTGGTTGGTGTGACCCATAGAAATCTACATCTATCCTCAATAAATAATCAAATGCAGATGCGTTGTCACCCGTAAGGACTAAGATGGAATGCCTCTTTTCCAGTAAAAAGGGTTTCCGGTTCTTTACACTCACCATACGAAACACAGCAGTGTTAAGCTGCTATTTTACGCTAATATCTGTGAGTGCGTGGTCCTTTCCCGGTCGAGCTGACCAATTCTTGCTACAACTATACTACTGATATAGCTGCAACATGGCTCTACCATGTATAAAAAATCGAACACGGAATGTCATTAATTTGTTTCAACCAAGGAGGTTATACAATATACAACCTCCTTGGTTTCAACAGATTGACTGAAAGTGGAAGAGATTTCATTTAATAACTGTTGTATAAATATAGATTTTATAAGAAAGGAAACAGTAAATTTATTATTATTATATAATGAGAAGGCAGGCAAGAATGAAGAAAGGAAGGGTGATGTGTCAGACAAAGGAATAAACACAACCGAACCGAACAACTTGTCTTTTTACAAGCTCATGCTTTCCTATGGATACAAATCTAGGAACCGCGTCATAAAAGTTAAGAACCATGACTACTAATTTAGCTTGATGTTCTTTTTCTCTTTCTATCTCGTATTTATATACTGGATTTAAAATACTTGATGATAGAACAAAGTTGCGAGACGTCTGTAATTGTGATTAAATTCTGCTAAGAATAAAACTACAACAAGACGCTGCGTTCGCGGCTAGGACATTTATTAAATGACAAAATTAACTGCCCTCAATAGTTGAATAAGATAAAATAAAATAAATTTTATCTTGTTCAACAATTGCCACCTCTCCGTAGAACGGTGTTTGGTGCAAATTCCCCGATCTCTAGGTTGAGTAAATTGATCAATGAACTTTCCTATGCATTTGGCATTAATTCCGACTCACCTAACAAGCTCAGAAAAGAACTACTCAAACATAACGCCAATTGAATAGATTAAGTTTTTGTATAATTTTTTTAACGTTTTGGCTTGCTGTTAGTACGTATTATTCTTGATGTTTATTCCAGTGCATGTTGTAATCACCTATAACAGTTTGTAGCATTTAAAATAATACCCTATCTACTTATATGTATATATTTATAATTTTACAATGTATACAAATGTTGGTTATGCTTTAATAAATTAAAAAAAAATTGTAGCCCATCCTAGGTTCATATTGCGTGTCATATCGATGGTGGCGTGGTAGAATTGAGGGTATATCGAGAAACCCCCAATCGTTTGTGCAGTATAAAGTTCAAATGTAGGCGCCGTGCGCGGGAAATTCTACAGTCAGCCTAAGTCATACAACCAGTGCCACAACTCGTAGAATGACAGTATCGTAGTTCTGTTCGTTGTAGTAATTCTTCTGGTGCAGGCAAGGAAGATGGTGTCGCTGAGAGGCTGCTCAGTGTTACATTGAGATGAGCAGTGTTGCTGTTGGTTTTTGAGATGAGTATTGTAAATGTAATGTAATATTTCATGTAATTACTTCCTCATGTTACACTACTGTGTAATTATGACGGGGACATAATATTACGGTGTGGTCGAACTGTAGTTACTTTATACTGAATGTATAGTGCAGTACGCTGTTTTATTCCTGATAATGATTAATTGCGTAAGCAGGAGAACAAGTTGAACATCCGCTCACATACTATTATTATTTTTAACAATTAACCTCCTGAAGTATTGTCGATTCTGACGTAATTCGGATATACGTATATAAATAATAAATATTATCTACAAACATATGTCTTCTAATTTCGTATAAGTATTTTTGTGACATATTGTATAATTTATTTTATTTTGCATTTTTTTTAAGACAAATCAATGTTATTTATTTTAAGACTATAGTTGTAGTACAAGTGGTAAAATTAAAAACTTTTTACAACCAACTGCAATATAAATAAAATTAGAACATCATCAATGTAGTCGAAGTCAATTAAATACGCATTGAGAACCTCCTCCTTTTTTTGAAGTCTGTTGAACATAATCAATAGATTTGTTGCGTTTTTGAATGCGTTCTGTCAGCCGCATGAGTTGAATCAAATAAATAAATCACCATTACCTGAAAACACAGCAATGTTTCCGTTGCGTTTTTCGTAGACGGTCTTGATGCTGGTCACGTGCTTGGGCAGGCCGATGAAGACGTCGTGGAAGCGGCGCGGGAAGCCTGGGTCGATTCGCTGCCGCTCCGACAGCACCCACACCCACTGCAAGGTTCAGTTATTGTGCAAAGCATGTAGTACCATGTCGGTCAGTACCAAAATTCAGTGGCTTAACAACAAGACAGGCAGATTACATAGGGGGCGTTTTGAAAATAATATATACTTAATTCCGACTCGTTGAGATTTCGGTAAAATATCCACATCTCGAAATTCGTGTTATAACTCTTATAAAACTCCCATGACGTGTTGTGGCAAATACTGGAAGACCACATAAATAAATTCGTGTAATGCTATTCGACGACAACGCGTTTTGGCAATGAAGAAAAGCATTTGAGTTGGTGAGAATGTCCTCCAGACCAAATTTCGGTCAAGACAGCACAGGCTGCTTTCCCGAGGCACAGGGTCGAAACACCGCCAACTTTCTGACTCCGGGCTGCCACTGACAAATTCTTGACAGAAAAATTATATTTTGACGCGATCCGGGAATCGAACCCGAGACCACATGACCCAACAGTCATGATTACGACCACTAGACCATCGGGGCAATCTATATATACAAGAATTGCTGTAGCTCACTTAAAGTAGGTGATGATATGGATTCTACAACGTTGTTTTCACAAATCTAAGGGTGTTTACCATACCAATCGATCAATCGTCGAATGGATTACGCCCGAAATTAATAATGTATCTCGTATCCAAGATTGACCGCAGTCTTGGATTGCGGTGTATCGTTGGATTGGTCTCCAATCCGCGTGCCAATAACTCAACCCGGCAATCCCAATTTTTTTTCGACGACAGATTTCTAGCAATCCGTTCCCTCTTGACCGTTCCTTTTGATGTAAAATATCGATTGCATAAAACTTTATTAAGTGTATTTTAAAACAAATCATTCACATAACTACTGAAAAAATGTTTCAAAATAATGTTTGTTGTTATAATATTATGCCTAAAAATTTACGGAAATTATAATTTCAGTCTAGTTTTGGTACTAAAACTATGACATTATTTAGTTGAAATGGAACGTGTGACGTAGACGTCTTGCACAAAGAGAATATAATCACTACGTTTAGTCTTGCATTTGAATTTGACAAGACATTTTGATTCCGTTGCGAGTGCGAGTTTAGTTATTTCCGTGTAGCAGACTTCAAAAATATTATCTTCTATATATATATATAAATTAGAAATTATAATATAATGGATTCAGAAATCGTAAGTACATATTGTTTTATCTATTAAGGTTCTAAGTTGCGCGCGCTTTCATAATGACGCTTATCATTCCCGCCTTATTTGTAACGTTGTTGTTAATCATTGTAATTTTCTTTTACTAGGTAAAAGGTAAACCTCTTACAAAAGAAGAGTCAAAGTTTTTGCTTGACCTAATAGAAGGTAGTAAAATAATTACCACCAAAACTACTAACGCCACCAACAACAAACTTAAAACTGAAGAGTGGATTCGTTTGGCAGAGCGATTCAATGCCACAGCCACGAATTTTCCAAGTCGACATCGATCGATAGTTTCTACCACACCGATCGATCGATGGTAGAATGGATTACTCGACGTCGATCGATCTGCTTGATTATTCAAGAACCTGTCCCGCTCTACAGACTGCATTTTGAAAGATAATGATTATGAGCTCACAACCACATCGATCAACGTTTTATCAACCAGTATCCGTCGATCAGCTAAAGCTATCACACCAATCGATTTATCAATGGTGTCTATCGACGATCGATTGATTGGTGTGGTAACACCCTAATACAAAGCATCGTAAAAGTCTTAACAAAACAAAGAAATGCCTGTACCTCCTCTTCAAAGACGTATATTTTGCCCTGTATGACTTGTATGGTATCATAATTAGTGAAGCAGAGGTCGGGTAGATCCTCCTCGTCGCTGTAGTCAGCCTTGGTGAAGTGCGGAGCCAGGGACGAGCGCGACTGGCTCGGACTCTCCGTGCTCTCCGCCGATGATGGCAGCTCATCTTTTACTGTCAAAAGTTTTTTTTTAATAGAATAGGGTGACAAACGAACACACAGTCCACCTGGTGGTAAGTGGTTGCTGTGGCCCATAGATGTCTACATTTATTATCGATTACGAATCAAAATGCAGATGCGTTGTCACCCGTGAGGACTAAGATGTAATGCCTCATTTCCAGTAAAAAGGGGTTTCCGTTTCTCTACACTCACCATACGAAACACAACAGCATTAAGCTGCTATTTTACGCTGGTATTCTGTGAGAGCGTGGTCCTTCCCTGGTTGAGCCGACCCATTCGTGTTACAACTATACCAGAAATATAGCTGCAGCATGGCTCTACCACGTGCAAGATAATTACCAAAGACCATTTATTTTATTAATTTTGTTTTTTTTAAATCTTCATACTTTTCGGTTCAAATATAGCCTAGATCTCTTCTATCATTGCTCTATGTTTGTAAAGTCAGCCATTCCGAAGATTAGAACGGACAGACAGACAAATAGCTTATGTCTTAATAGCATTAGCGATATGGTATTGATATTCTCAATAGCAATACCAGCGTAAAATAGCAGCTTAACGCTGCTGTGTTTCGTATGGCGAGTGTAGATAACCGGAGACCCTTTTTACTGGAAACGAGCCATTCCATCTCAGTCGTCAGGGGTGACAACGCAACATTTTGATTCTCAATTGAGGATAAATGTAGATGTCTATGGGCCACAACATCCACTTACCATCAGGTGGACTGTGTGAGCACGCAGTCCACCTAATGGTAAGTGGATGCTGTGTTTCGTTAACGTTTATTTTTAACCTCGATTAAGAATCAAAATTTGGGCACGTTATCCCTCCTGATGTCTAAGATAGAATTTATCGTACGAAATACGGTTGCGTTATGTGTACTTTACTTTAAGTTGGTATTCGTAAGAGCATGTTCCCTCCCGGTTGACCGACTGTCGAGCCGACCTGTTCGTATTGCTGCCAGTGTTGCTCTACCGATATGATACTGTCAATACTAAGCAGTGGCAGATACACGTTTAGATCGTCAGCGCAAGTTAAAGGATTGTGTTGATGAAAACACTTATTCATGTCATTCATAGATATGTTAAACTGTAAAGGGCCTAAAATGGAGCCTTGTGGTACACCGGACAGACAAATAGGTAACAACAACGCTCTAAGTTTTGTTTGGTTTGCGTTCTAGTCTGTCACATTAAATTATCACATAAGACGTAGAGGTCAAATTAGGCACGGATAGGTTGAAATAAGGAAGCAGGCGCGGATATCTACAAACAGACACTTCAATTTTATTTATTTGTATCACTTCAATTTTATTTATTTATATATACAAATAAATATAATTGAAGTGTCTGTCTGTAATGTCAAAATTACAGATTTTTACTAAATGTATATGAAAGTATATACGGTACTAATTACAAAAATACAATTTTTAAACTCCGAAACGGTTGGACCGATTTTGACGGGATTTTCACTGGCACATAGCTGATGTCACAAGGAGTAACTTAGGCTTTTATTTTAGAAAAAGAATTAGGGTTCCGCGCAAAAATTAAAACCCCGAATAACACGCGGGCGAAGTCGCGGGGAACAGCTAGTCTATCATATCATCGTATCGAATACCTATACGGATATCACATCGGATACCTATCATGATGAAAATCGTGTATCTTACTTAGCAAACTCTTTTTGGCTTTTTAATTCTATAATACGATCGATGTTGAGTCTTCGAGAAACTTCAGTCTCTGATGCTCTGAGCGCCTGTGAGAAAGTGCTTTTGTTAGCGGGTAAATTTATGACAGTGTGAAATTTCTCCGCAATTAATAGCTTCCGGTTAAGTTATCGTCGTCGACAAAATTGGTCATGAGGACATATCATATAAAAATATGAATCATCATTAAAAATTACGCTTATCAGCCTTCCTGATTGCATATTAATAAAATAACTCACGATAAAGCTCCTGCATTCCCAATATGTCATCCATATGCAGTTTCTCGACAGGAACTTGATAATAGGGGTACATGACCGACGATTTGACGTTCGAGTGGGACAGGCCCAGCGCGTGGCCGATCTCGTGGACGGCGACTGCGAAGAAGTCGGTGATGTCATCGTCGGTGTCGTCGCTGGTCCCGTCGCCCCAGAGCTCGTCGTCGTCGAAGTGCATCGCGCCGTGGGGAGGCGGGAACGCGTGGGCCACCACGTGACCTGGCCCGTCAAAAGGAAACCTACGTTAGAGAGCGTTGTGTGAACGAGTTGGTAATTACAAAGTTACACTATTATCGTTTTGTTCTTACACACACAAACACTGCCGCCTAACACCCAGAGGGGTAGGCAGAGACTACGGATTTCCATTTGGCACGATCCTGACACACCTCTCTCGCCTCCTTTACATCTATATATCTACGCATACATGCTCGTCGGTTAAGGGTACTCCTAATCTGGGCCATTTTCATTATGATAATTCCATTTAATAAACTTTGCACCTACAACAGTTTTTCGAAACACCCAGGATTGACTGAAATCGAAGTGACAAGCCAACTAACAACCCACCTGATGGTAAATAACAACTGCATTCCAGTTCATGTGCATTTGCGCGGGTTTGTGTCGAAAGCAATTCTAATCGCATCACTCCTTAACCTTTATATATTATTTTTATAGTATTAATGGTGGCAAATTTTCAATAAATATATAAATAAGTAAGCACTCACGCCTGTCACCCAGAGGGGTAGGCAGAGACTACAGATTTCCATTTGGCACGACCCTGACACAACTCTCTCGCCTCCTCCACATTCATATCATACATCGTCAGTTAACTATTAATTTGACCCATTTTCAATAAATCGATAATTTGGTCGATCGAACATTCGCCTAGGTCGTCCCTTCCCGACTCTACCGTTCACTTCTGCAACATAAATTTGCTTTGTCATTCTTTCCTCATTAGTTCTTTTTACATGACTAAACCACCGAAGCACTCCTTTCTTAATCTGTAGCAAGCAATTTCGAACAAAGAAGTCTACAAAAATGCGTTGTCAACACTATGAACTAAGATGGGATGTCTCTCAGTCTGTGATTATATTTGCTTTCTATACTGTTCAAGCCGGGACAAAGCTGTGCTGCCCGGGGGTAGTAGAAGTTAAGGGTAAGGTGGAAAGGAGGGGGGGTTACCTACCCAGACGGCAGAAAAGGAGACATCTAACTATATATGCAAATCCCCCTGTAACGGATGGAGGCCTAGGTCCAAAAGCAGACTATTATGGACTTATTAGGAAGAAGAAATAAATAGGTACATATAATAAGGTGTAACTATATTTATAATATTGACCGTGCAGTAGCGGTGTAAGAATACCCTATCCGATGGGTGTCGTAAAGGGCGATAGATGGAAACAAGTCGGGAGATGGGCAGCAGCGTCTTCCAAATAACAATTAAAAATAAAAATAAACTTTGATTGCCAACCACAATCTACACACAGATTTCCTCTGATACACACATTGCACAGTTCCACAGATCTCCACCTATGAGGAAAGAGCTAGAGCTGGAAAGAGCTATGAAGAAAGAACTAGAGGATTCCTCCTATGAGGTAATCTGTGTATGCGAAGTGACAGTAATTTTATAATAATCATGTTTTAGCTTTACAAAAAGATTATTTTCGTGTTACTTAATATGTTACCGCCCGTATTACCCACCCGTCTCCATGATCCCTGCTGGCGAACGACACCTGTATGTCTGCATGCCCGTCGTCCTGCTGCTGGAAACGAAGACCGCCGTGTGGCGCCCACACCGCTAGTCCGTCTGCCATCAATGTCCTGACTCGCTCCTTGTCCAACGTGCTCGAACCGTTAAGCACTCTGAGGATAGAAGACACATTCCAAAATAATTGGATACTCATAGACGATTCTTATATAATTCATTGTTTTGGAGAATTTGCGCCTAAGCAGACCTTATCTTGAGAATCATATCATCATGAGACCACTTGTTTCACCATTTCCACTAATAGTTCAGATGCGCAGACACTTAATACACAAAATCGTACAACCATTATTTAAAAAATAATACAAGAGCAGTAATCCTACACCGTTCAAGTTCCCGCCAAAAACTCACTGTGCCTGTGTTAAGCAGTAGACCAAAGAGTATATAATTACTACTTTTACGTTTTTTTTTGCAGTAGCCCTTGATGGACTGTAACAACCGAATGAATGTAGAGTGGCCGAAGTTCAGACTGGGATTAGGCAACAAAGAAAGGACTATTATACACTTACCTATAGCTTATGATCTTCTTTCCCCATCCCTGTTGTAGGATATATCTGCGGTTCCTTGACGGGGATGATATATCTTTGACACCGCAGCGTTTTTTCTTAAAAAACTGTAGGAAATGATACTATCAGTACGTTACTTCATTATGAATATTATTCACGTTCAAAATAGTCATTTTCAGCTTGAAACTTGTGTACATAATTAATTTCTTGTATTTGGTGACAGCGGCCAGAAGCTCACCGATATCACAGTACGCAAGCAAACCGATTTCGAGGGTTCGATCCCAATTTCCAACCGGCACCAATGAAATCAATTATGTATATTATATTGTCTTCTTTTAAGGTTTGATGAAGAAGATCTCTGCCATGGTAGTTTAGTTTATATATCTTTATATATAAAAATTACGTGTCCCGTTGTTTGTCCGCGATGGACTCCTAAACTATTGAACTGATTTCAATGAAATTTTGCACACTGTGTGCATTTTGGTCCAATTTGAGAGATAGGATAGTTTTTATCCCGATAAATGAGCCTCAATTTTTTTATTGCGAATTTAAGGATTTTTATAGGAAGGGTTGTTGGAACGGGCAGAACGTCTGCCTGGCGAGCTAGTAATTAATATAAAATGTAACTAATATTTGAGAAACAAACGTTAATCTGTACAGTTTTCCAACAAACACTTGCTGTACGTAGTAAAGCCATGTTGCAGCTATATCAATTGTATAGTTGTAGCACGAATGGGTCGGCTCGATCGGAGAAGGACCACACTATCACAGAATACAAGCGTAAAATAGGAGCTTAATGCTGCTGTGTTTCGTATGGTGAGTGTAGAGAACCGGTGACCCTTTTTGCTGAAAACAAGGCATTCCACCTTAGTCCTCACGGCTGCAAATGCATCTGCATTTTAGCAAACGAGTATAGATGTAGATGTCTATGGGTCACAGCAACCACTCACCATCAGGTGGACTGTGTGATCGCTTGTCATCCTTATCCTATAAAAAAACTGACTTTCCCCGCTATAAAATCTGTCGAATATTTCACCTCATACCTAAGTGATAGCGGCAGAAAGAGTGGTGGATGTTTTCATTGCTCTATAACCATAGCTGAATTGAGAGGAGGTCGGTGCCCCGTAATGAGACTTGTATAGGCTGTATTTATTACTGTACATACCATATAAACTTGGAGGCAGTCCACCAGATAGTAAATAGTTACCTACTGCAGCTCGTGGCTCCTGTAGTCTTTAAGATACATGTCTACTAAGATAGAGTCCTACATATATTTATTAATATACTTGCTGCTTTTTTCGTTACCCTTTGGTATAAAACAATGAGTGTATTCCTAGTACTTGCAAAGTGGTACAGCTTTTTTGAAACACAAACACACAAGAGGTTTTTACAGTATAAACGAACACACAGTTCACCTGATGGTAAGTAGATGCTGAGGCTCATAGACATCAATATCTATTCTCAACTAAAAATTAAAATTCAGATGCGTGGTTACCCCTGAAGACTAAAATGAAAAAGAAAACGGGTTTTCGGTTCTCTAGACCCACCATACGAAACACAGCAGCATTAATCTGCTATATTTTACGCTAGTATTCTGTAAGAGCCGATCCATTCGCCGGTCGCGCTGACCCATTCGTGTTACAACCGTAATACAACTGCCGCGTGGCTTTACCACGTATAAATTCTTTAATGCGTGATATCTTTTAATTTACTTCCACGTAGGGACAATTGGTGAAACTAAACTTCTGGCGTGTTTATAATGAAATAAAATCCACCGAGTGCAACCTTCATTCTTATTTTAGATCAATTTCTTTCCTGCCATTTGTATCTTAGATGTAGATATCTATCCTCGTGTAAGTATCAAAATACAGATGCGTTGTTGCGCCCAAAAAACTATATCTAAGTAAATGCTTTGTTACCGGTAAAAATGGTTTTAAAATTTGGAATTAGTTAAAAAGTAACTCACGCTCCTTGTCACCGGGTCTAGATTGCCAGTCGGCGGGAGACCAGCAAACAGCTGCATCTTCTTCACGGCCTCGGAGATGGAGTGCGGCGTGTAGGCAAAGTCAAAGTCGCCCTGCTCTTCTGGCAGATAGCCATACCTCCTCATGAAGCCCAACTGAACAAGAAATTCAGTTTAGTTGTTGTTGTTTAAATTTTTATAATAAACTAGCGAACCGCCCCGGCTTCGCATGGGGGATTTCTGAATCTTGACAACTAACAAACAAAACAAACACCTACCGGGTCCAATTGTGAATCTGGAACCAACTCAAACTCAAAAACAATCATTAAAATTGGTCCCCGTTTAGGCACGCAGTCCCCCCAACGGTAAGTGATGCTGAGGCCCATAGACACCTATGTACATCTATCCTCGATTAAGAATAAAAATGCAGATGCGTTGCCACCCCTAAGGGCTTAGATGGATTGTCTCGAATTCAATATAATTAAAAATTAAAAATTTGTACATTCGACTTCAATATAAATTATTAAGAATAACTCAAAAACTATTGGTCTTACCTTAATGTAATGCGACCACATGTGAAGCACAAGGTTTCAAATAAAAAAAAAATCATCGAAATCGGTTAACCCAGTAAAAAGTTATGAGGTAACACACATAAAAAAACATATAGTCGAATTGAGTACCGTCTCCTTTTTGAAGTCGGCAGAAAAACGGTCTTCGGTTCTCTACACTCACAATACAAAGCATGGCAGCATCGACTATTTTACCCGTGTATTCAGTGAGAGCATATGCATTTCCCGTTCGAGCCGACTCATTCGTCCTACAATCATCTTATAGCTGCAGCGTGGCTCTAATTGACAAGATTTAGTCTAATTGAAAAAGTCCATTATCTTTTCTTCATACCATGGAACAAAATAAGGTGATGGGTTCTTTCAGATTCAGACGTAAAAGACGACTATTGTAAATGTCACAAAGATCTTAATTATGGCTTTCAATAAGTGACGGTATAACCAACTCTACAGGCCAGGCGTAAAATATCGAGATTTGAGACGTCTATCTCGGCAAATGCTCCTTATAACGGGAAAAGCGAATGTCCAATATGGACTTTTACGGGCTGGTGACGATGATAACACCATTATTCATCATCATTACAGCCTTTTACAAGTCCACTGCTGAACATAGAGGCCTCCCCTAAGAAATGCCACAAATCACGGTCAAGAAATAATATTGTTCGCATAGTTAAACTTTAAAGTTTTCTGCAATCTCCCTTCACCTTAAATTTTTAAATAATGCTAGATAAAAACGTAAAAATCAACTTACTGTTTTACAAAACGTATTGATTATATTTTTTTTTGTAATCAACTTTTTTAACAAATAGCCCCAATCGAGGCAATCTGTAGAGGATGATTAGTGTTTACGTTTAGCTGTGGGCTTGGATTGGCTGTAATTAATGATGAATAATAATTTTGTTTTACATCGATTTCGTAAAAATAAGTCGGAGATAACACTTACCTCCTCGAGCGTAGGTGAATTCACTTCCAAAAATATCGTCCTGCACCACACGTACCCGTGAAGGAACGCTATGCACATGAACAATAACCACTTTACACCGTTCATTATGACAACTGAACAAAGAAAGCTGAACGGAGCGAGTGATGGCGCCCGTACCAAGTTGAATTCACTTGACCCTTGACTCACGATAAGGCTGGAGCGTTTATAGTACGCCAGAGAGTTGGTAGGTAAAGCCCTTTAATTCAGAATCTCCTGTTAAATAATCACCTAACAATATTTTTTTCGGATAAGCTTTTGACTTATTGTTTTAAAATGGTTAGGGTAATGCTTTCTTATTAATATATAATATATATCGTTAAATACTTCTTCAAAATGATACACACAATGCATCAAAACTACTGTATATTTAATTTTTAATGCTATCTCAAGAAATAATAAACTATTATTAATACAGTTGTACATTTAGATAAATTATATAACTTAAAAATAACTCCAATCTTTGCACTTGAACCCTGTGATATTTTTGATTTGATAGGCAAAGTGCTATACGTAGCTAAATTCATATCACGTAGTATTACATATATTATTTATAACTGAACATTAACGTAACTTTGAAAAATTTTGAATGAAATTAAGTGAAATAAAATTATCGTTGTTCAGACTACAGAGGTTTTAATTCCCAATTATCTGGCAATAAATTTTAGTCTGGAAACACGTCGCATGACGTACGAATACTGGCGCAGCTGCAAAAGTGAGTATGCAGCAATATATTAGTAGCTAGAAATAATCACGGTATTAATCATGGTATTATCTTTGAGTCTATAAAAATAACAATAACACGATGTATGATTTATTGTAATCACGTGTAAGTTAGTGGCAAAATAAACTCAATTCAATTACCTGTACTTCTTTTTTGTTGCTCTTGCTTCATCAGCTCATAAAAGTCCACTGGCTGGGCCCATTCCATCGTAGGGAAGATTTGCCTCATAAACATCTTTGAAAGGTGGATTGATGGTCAAAAAACCAGACGTTTCGCACCTTTAACGCTACTTTGCTCGACACACACGGCCAGTTAAATTAATCAGTAGAACTGATCAGTTAAAACTGATGTAAGCCAAAACGATTTCCCCACTGACTGGCTTCAAATTTCAACTTAAGATTTCACAGACACGGTCAGTTTTTGGATGTGCATCAGATCAACTGATCAATTTAACTGACCGTGCGCTCGGTAAAATCCGTGGGTTGCCGCCAGTTAAAAAATTCAACTTAAGATTTCACACTCACGGTCAGTTTTTGGATATACGCAATTCAACTGATTAGTTTAACTGACCGTGTGTGTCGGCCATTAAAGCTGTCAGTCTTGGTAATTTATGTCAGGCGTAAACAAGATGGACCTAAAATGTAAAGATAACGATACACATGATACTATTTAGTATAATTATAGTATAAATACACGCTAGTGGCCAACGCAGCCAACTACGTCCCGATAGCGAACGTCGCGCCGACTCTCCGTAGACCGCGTAACGTACTAATAGAACAACCACGGTCGCTCGAGCCCGTCGACCCAAACGTCGCAGGCACATCATACACTGACACTACACCCACACCAAATGGTACAAGCACAAATAGGATAAAGGATGGGGCGCGTTCCAGCACACACCGCGCACACACCGTACACCCCCGTACCTGGGCGGTTCTCACCGCCCAGAACATCGACAGACACGAGCTAGAGCAGTCAGAGGCGGGGGTTCACACTCCCCCCTCGGACAGCGGTTAGATAGTTCAATAATAACCTCAATAAAGGGGGCAATGATGATTGGTAACAATACCAATTCATAAACTATCATCATCCTCATCTCCAGCCTACTTATCGGCTTTCCACTTTTTAAAATAGCGCGCCCTGCAAGGCCTGTGTCAGATGAAGCTGTAAGAGCCGCATAGGCTAACAGCACAAGCATCACGATAATAGTTAGCATAAATACAAAATTTACACTAAGTATCGTGCGGCAACGCCGTAAGAGAGCCCATCAACCCAGTTTATTCTATGGGTGTCGTAAGAGACGACGACTATGGAAATGACAGAAAGATCTTATGGCTTCCGATAAATGCCGATATGTCGCCACAGAGTATTTTAAAAACATGGGACAATAATAATAATAATGCCCGACAATAATAAAGACCGATAATAAAGACCGAATTTCGGTCACGGCGGTCGGTTTCAACGGAGACTAGCCATCTCCATTTGCGCAGGACAGGATTTTAGTGTTCGAGTGTATAAACAAGCACAGGTGCACTCTCCAATTCTATACCCTCGCTCTCATAGGCCGATGGGATGGCAAACGGACACGACCGGAGAGGCTTTACGTGCTTTCTAAGGCATGGGGTACAACACTGCCAATTTCCTGACTCGGGGCTTTTACTGAGAATTTATGTACAGAAAACTCAATTAGTAATTCTTTTTTGTCCCGATCCAAGATTCGAACCTGAAAACTCATGATCAGTAGCCGCTTTTACGACCAGTAGACCAACGAAATGGAACAAGTGTAATAACAAGGGATGGGGGGATGTATTATTTTACATCGATGGCAGTGACAGGGAAAGATATTAAAGGAACTCCTATTTTTTAGATAATGTACATTTTTGAATAGTTTTGTAAAGTTAAAAATTTCTTTGATTTTTGAGTATGTATTTATTATAATAAATATTATTTTATTACATACTTATGTACATAATACATGGTACATATTAAGGTTCTTCAAATATCTTTTTAAATACTTTTTAGGGATGACGGATAACTGACTGACAACTGACAAAAGCTAGCAATTGATAAAAATAATTGACATAATATATCGTAAATAATATCATACAATAAATAATAAGATTTATACCAGTTTTGTACATAAATATCATGCATCACGAGACTGGTTGCAAGACAGCCAGCGACACGGACGTCAGACGTTTGTACAGCGTCTCCTTGTCGCAGATCAGGAAACATTCTGAATTTTCGGAATACCATTACAAGCCTTCGCCTTTTGTGAGATGTTTCCTAATCCTAATATTAGACCCATTACCATCGATATATATGTACTACGCACTAGATTTCGCATTCCGAACATTGACTATGTTCAAAGACATTTAAGTAGTACCTATATATTTAAATCTATTTGACTATGTTCAACTGAACTGTACTTGAACTGCAATCCGTACACTAAACTAAATATTATAAGATAACTATTATTACATTTTAGTTACAAATAGGTTTGTTAAGATTAAAATAAAAGTATTTTATACCAAATTCTTATATTTATTTTATATTAATATCTTATTTTATATCAAATTAAAGTCTTCGCGCATACGCAACTCTACTATCTCCCGCGCATGCGCGATGACATAGAGTAGTGCACAATTTTTGTTTGGAATAGCTTCTCTAGTACGTAGTACATATAGCTCAATGCTCATTACTATTAGAAGTATGCATCAAGCGTTGAGAAAGAAAGGTTCCCAAGTGGCAGCCTCGTATCAGTAAGCGAAGTGTAGGGAGACCTCCCAGTGGTTGGAGTGAGTACTGGTAAACGCAGGACGCAGTTAGTCGATGTATTTAGGTGGCTCATAATCTAGAGACATATATTTAGGTTCAACTGAACTTGTTAAGGGTTGTAATGATGATAATGACGATTATAATATGTATTTAATTAGTTTGTGTCATAATATATTTTCTATCCTATATAATTGTACTTTGTGGTCTGTACAGAATTTGATGTTTGTGTTGTACTAGAAATGAGCAAAAATTTTATTTTTAGTACCTAAGCGACACGGTTTATTTAGGTTTATTTAGGTTATCTTTTAGGTTATTAATTTATTTTCTAAACTTGTTAAGAAGAATAGGGTTATTTTTGCATGGCGGTAATTAAAAGACAAAGACAAGTGTCGGCTCGACTGGGGAAGGACCATGCTGGTGTAAAATATTAGCGTGAATAACAGCATTACGTTGTTGTGTTGTGTATTGTGAGTGAGGGAATCGGAGACCCTTATTACTGGTAATGAGGCTTTCCATCTTGGCCTTCAGGGGCACGAGGCATCTCATCTTACCATTAGGTCAAGTGGTCTGTGTGCTTGCTTGTCTCTCTTACTTTTCTTTTTTAAATATAGCCCCTCTTAATTTTTTAATTGCCTAGATTTTATGAAGAACTAGCGAACCTATCGGGTCTCAAGACGAATATAAACTATCTAGGGACCAATTCGAACACACACCAAAAATTTATATAAATCGTTTTTTTATAGGATAATGGTGACAAAAGAGCACACAGTCCACCTGATATAAAGCGCCCATAGACCTCTACATCTATCCTTGATTACGAATCAATTCATGCTACAACTATACCACTAATATAGCTGTATTATGGCTCTACCATCTACCAGTTTAGCAGGTGTAAAAGACGTGGTCGAGTCGTTTTTGAGTTTTAGCGAGACTAACGTACAGCAATTGATTTGTATATTAGAGAATTATTACATTCTTTATCACCGTGTTCTTTAAACAGTTTCAAAAATGATTTGTTCCTCATTTAGAACATTCGTTGGATCCACGGCTATAATCCTAAAGTTGGTGTTATAAATTTAAACGATAAAGGGAGCACAGTGGCTTTCTACGCAGCGGGCAACTGCGCTGTCCTGTACAATTGGACGAAAAACGAGATGAGGATACTACAAGGGCATGTGGGTTATAATAATAATTATTATTAATACTTTTATTTTAGGGAAGCTTAGCTTTGAAAAAAAAATTATTTTATTATTTCGAATGTTCAGCTAACATCACCAGCTTGTAAAAGTCGACGGCTGCACATGGACTTCAACCGTTATAGGGAGATTTATCACGCTTGTAGGTGAACGATCGCAGTGCCACTTCTCTCTCTCTCTCTCTCTCTCTCTCTCTCGTCTCTCACCTTTGACGCTGCTGCCCGTCGCTGGTCTCGGTATTTAACATATGGCGTAAATGAGATGGTGTACCGTCATAAATCGGAAAATATTTTTCTGGCATTTCCCATAGTCCTCTCTTACGACACCCATGTGATGAAATGGTGGGACACCCGGACACCCGATGGATGGTG